TCGAATATGAGAAGAATAATCGATTGTAATTGGTCGATATCTTACGGTGTAAGGCTTTAAGTCCTTATTATGGACCGACACTTACGCAAATACCGATAAGCCTTCGGACTGATGCACCTTAATGATATTGCATTTGCAATATCTTCGGAAGACCAGACGACGCGTTTCTTTTCTGGATGAAGTAATATTTTGATTTGCCCTGGCGTAAATACTTGGGAAAGTACTCTATACATATTTTCTTTTAATTTTTCTTCCTCCCATTTCTTTTTCTCCTTCTCGGATTCCATCAGTGCCTTCTTTGTTTCCGCTAATTCTAGTTGTAAATTATTTCTAAAAGTATATCACAAAATACAAATAATTTATATACAATATATTGACTGCATTCAAATATACAGGTTGTTTATTTGAAATACAAAAAGTATATCTTAATGAGAAATGGACAATTCCTTGTGTCAATCTTATAACTACTTTCAATCTTATATAAACAATGAATTAATTATAAAACTTAATTAGTTACAAACTTAGGCTAGTACTCATAGTCGGTTCTTATTTCAAAACTGTCTTAAGTTATATCTTAAGACAAAATACGGCTCTGTGATTGGCTTATGACATCTTAAGATTGTATGTACTTAAGATGATTTTAAATATAAGAACCGACTATGAATACTGGCCTTCAAATCAGACTTACATTATCGTAAGGTAATCGGTAGAAGTAGCTGATGGTTCCAACATTGCATTGTCAATATGCTCTAATATGCTTGTGGGTTTAAATTTGGCAGTTGATGTCGACGGCTCTGTTTCATCAACATTCTCCAATATTGATTTCGGAAATGGTTCTGCTTTGTCAATGCAATCCGTTGACGGCTCTATTTCATCAACATTCTCCGAAATTGATTTCGGAAATGGTTCTGCTTTGTCAATGCAATCCGTTGACGGCTCTATTTCATCAACATTCTCCGAAATTGATTTCGGAAATGGTTCTGCTTTGTCAATGCAATCCGTTGACGGTTCTGTTTCATTAACTTTCTCCGATATTGATTTCGGAATTGACGTTGATATTTTTGCATTGATAACAGTATCCGACAATGCTGCCTTACTGGATGCATTTTTGGCGCATGTTGATGTACGAATTTCTTCAACCGGTTCCACAAATAAATTCATTGTGGGAATTGCATCCATTCTTAATTTCCGTCCTCTTAAAGGAGAATATTGCAAAGCTATCTGCTGTGCAGGCTTATCATAGCACGATGCGTCAAAGTGATCAGAACATATCCTCCCTGCGGAATAGTGGAGCAAATGTAAACGAGCAAAACGAGATGTTTATATAGAATTATTGGAATCAAACAGCGATTGTCAGACGATAAATGAAATATGCCAATGATATAAAAGAAATAAAAAATGTAAATCAAATGCCACCTGTATTGCAAAAATTGTGTTGAAAATGTTGTATTTTTATATACAAACGTAGAATTCCAAATGCATTTTCGATAAGTTATAAATACGAAATAATATGGATAAAATTTTATAATTACGTAGATAGGTTAGACATATAAAGACAAATATATATTATTGATAATTTTATATACCCACATTTGCAATTACATTTATGTTTATTGATAGCATTGTGATGTACCCTGCCGCGAATTCCCATAGGTATATTCCTATGGGTCATGTCCCATGGGAAAATGACCCAGGTGTCCTATGGATAACCTATATGGGACTTCCCAGACAGCACACGGATATCTTATGGACATCCATAAGATGTCTTTGAAGGACATTGAGGATATCCGCAAGCTATCCGTTTTAGGTCCTTCGGACATCCACTGGACGTCCATGGGATATCTGTTTATGAAATTGGTGGACGTTCACGGGATATCTGTTTATGAAATTGATGGACATACTAAGAATCTCTGACGTGCCCATAGGATATAAAAAATAAAAAATAACGATTAAATAAACGCTTATAAAATTAGAATAAAAAGTTATAAA